ATATCCGGCATGTGGGCCCATTTTTTTCTTTCAAAACATTTAGGCATAACAACCCCATTTGATTCATCATTCCCATGTTCTACCCTCAGATGAAATCACCCACAGGCTCACTCACCCGATTTTTTTTTTGTTTTTTTTTGTTTTTTAGAGGCTCACTCACCCGATATCAAAAGAGAAATATCCGTGAGTGGCCCTTCAGATCAATTCAATTCCTAGTCCAAGAAAACTATTCCATCGGGAACTCGTCCCCAACCAAGCATGTTCATTCACTTAAAGTTATTACCCCGAGGTTCACCTACCTCGAGGACTGTTCGTCCTTACTATCATAATGCACATTATATGGGAGCTAAACCTGTTAGGAAATTGATGTAACGTACCTCGAAAGTATAGTAGGAGAAGTTTGAAATTTTCCCAAACAGATCTTCCTTGATTATGACAAAACAACGAATATAACAATAATAAAAAATATAAGTTAGAAATTACAGATCTTCAAGCCAAATGGTGATAATCCTTGACCTTATGTATCCACGAGATTTCTTCTTTCTGAAAAAACGGTTAGATCTCCCAAAGAGAAAGGCAAGGAAATCTCTTCGCGAGGAAATAAATTGGTAATACTGAATCTAGAAAACTAGTCACAAATTATGAAGGAGGAGGGTGTATTATATTTATACTAGTTCTAAACTAGTTTCCCAATCACAATGAAAGTCTTCCTCGTTAATGAGTTCCAGTCCTACGAGGATCATTACTTATCATTAATTAAACAAATAAAAAACAAAATGAAGTAATAATAAAGGAGGAAGAGGGCTACACCACTCATTCTATCCTTACAACAACAACAACAACATCCAAGCCTTAGTCCCAAAAGTTATTGCGGTCGGCTAACATGAATCGATATATGATATCACCACCAAAAGGAAAAGAAAGAAAATAAAGATAAAACAGATAAGCTATTATAAAAAAGATAATATAAAAAGAGATGAATATACATAAAAATGATAAAATAAAAAGGATAAAAATAATGTTTATATAAATAAGGATAAAAGGATAAAAAACAAGAAAAAAAGAGATGAGGGGAAAAGATGATACAAGATCACTTCTCCACACAAATACTCATCCTCCACTTTGCTCTCTCCAAACTCATATCCTCATCTAATCCAAGAAGAAGCATATCACTTCGGACTCCCCTAACTCACGTCTGTTTGGGTCTTCCTCTCTCTCTTCCATGTCTCTTCTCCGCACATCTCAACTCGTCTGATAGGTGCATCACTCGATCTTCTACACACATGACCAAACCACCGTAGGCGCGACTCCCTGCGGTGGTTTAGTCGTGTGCATAGAAGATCGAGTGATTCACCTGTCAGATCGAGTGTGCGACTCATTCCATCCTTATTATTATTATTATTATTATTATTATTATTATTATTATTATTATTATTATTATTATTATTATTATTACTACTACTACTACTACTACTACTACTATTGTTGTTGTTGTTGTTGTGGTTGTTGTTGTTGTTGTTGTTTTTGTTGTTGTTATTACTATTATTGTTGTTATTATTGTTATTATTATTGTTATTATTATTGTTGTTATTATTATTGTTGTTATTATTATTGTTATTATTATTATTGTTGTTATTATTATTCTTCTTCTTATTATTATTATTATTATTTATTTTCCCCTTTTCCTTTTAATTCCAAATTAAAATAAAATATCAATTTATTTAATGATAGATAAATACATCTTAATTAAGTATAATAAATCTAATTTATCTTACTTAATTAATTCTATCAAATAGAACTCTCCATCAATATCATGAATTAAATATAGTTTAATCCAATTACTATTTAATTCATTTTCAGTATTACGAATTAAATATTATTTAATCCAATTAATATTCAATTCCTTCTAACAATTCAATCGAAAGGTATAAGTGTATAACCACTTGTTGTGTGACTCATATGGCCTTATATATTAAGCACTAATCAAATTAAGGTCTTAGTGAATCCCTACATGATTCTCCAGACAAACTTAATATATAAGGAAGTTTGCGATGACTATTCAAACTCCCTGTAATATAGAGTTTATAGTGATACAGTTCTTTCATTCAACGAACATTTAACTAAGTCAAGAACTCTATATTGTGTCTATTCCAATAACTTAGTCTCTATCTCTCAATCTTTCTAGATGATTCATAATGATCATATTTGATATCCAAAATGAATATATCTTTGCATTGGCCAAAGACTTTATACTCCATCAATATATGAGAAGTAGAATGTTCTCACTTAATCAATTACGAGGAATGAATCCACGCATGAAGTACATATTGACCTCAAGTCGAAGGAATATTATACTACATTACTACTCTACATGTCGATAATCCCAAAGACACATGAAAAGAACTTATCAAATGGTTTCTCGGTGGGTATGCCAATAATCTTTAAAATATCTATGTGACCATCATGTATTACAGGAACTCGTAGTTGTGAGATCAACTATAATTTCTAAAAGTATGATGCAGTCCACATATCAATCTTATCGCGTATCATCAATATCTCTTTCTTGATGATCATTGATAGGGCTACTTTAAGACCTTATGTTATATCTGTTGAAAAAATGTGTTAAAATTGCATTAAATGGTCTTTTTGGGGCAATTATTTGAGTGGGGTCCACTTCCGATTTGGGTCGGTTCAAAGTGGTTTCGGATTGTCCTTGTTAAGGGCTACAATTCGATATGTGGTACACTCAAAACGGATAACGGGTGAATGAGAAATTGATTCTCAAAGTTCACTCGTTGAAATGGAAAAACTGGGAAAATGATGAGTTTCTAGTGTGTTTTATCCCACACCGGAAAACTCAAGGGATTTTCACCCCCTTATAAAGGGAGGCCTCTTTTAAGGAGTTAAGATTCCTAAAGGTAAAGGTTCTCTCTTACGCGCAGGGGGGGGAGGTGCCGATCAAATCCCGAAACGGAGAAGAAAAATCGCGACTCGTGTGCGCGGGCGACCTGCGGACACGAATGTCGTCTGAAAACCTATCATTCAAAGATAAGTGTTCTGCTATTGTTCCAGTTCGCCGGGACGTTCGTTTGTGTGCTCAAACAATCGTTCGTTACCCACCGTATCCTGGGAAACGGTCATTGCAACGCTCCTAGCACCGTGGGAGGCGACGAATACATTTTAAGGACATCGTGCGTAGCACGAGCTCTGGTTAAAATCTGTCCATCTTATTTCTGTTTTTCTTTTGCTATGTTATTAATTAATTAATTTTTTTTATTAATTAATATTTCTTCGTTTTGCCGAAACACGCCCAACAATATCATACAAACTCTCATGTACTTATTGACAACATAAGTTCAAGGGAACACAATTGTGAATAAGACATTGACAATCGAAATGCTTAATCATCAATGTGTAATATTGTGTATATCAAATATATAAAGCTGAATGTAATCAAGTACATATATCTCTAAAAGTGATTTGTCGCTAGGACATATATATACTAACAAAACCCCCCTTGAGGGGCTACGCATATCCCCCATCCTTTTGTGTAATTTGATGAAGGTTAACACTTCAAGGACTACACGGACCTTTGTTATCTATGTGTAATTTGCTAGAGGTTAACACACCTCAAGAACTACACAACCTTGTTACTTATGTGTAATTTGATGGAGGTTAACACACCTCAAAGACTACACGGGTCTTTTTTAATCTATGTGTATTTGTTTCTGAGGCTAATCACATCTCAAGGACTACACAGGCCCTTGTTAACATGTGTGTATTTTTATGGAGGCTAATCACACCTCAAAGATTACACGAGCCCTCGTTAACCTATGTGTGTTTCCGTAGAAAATCCAAAATGACACGATTGAAACATCATATGAAAAATATCTCAATGAGCTATGAAACATATTTTTTGATTGGAAGTCAGTTAATCATTGTTAAAATTTCAAAATGACACCCCCTCCATTACATCCATATCTTTTGATTGGATTATCTAAATCACTTGACTCAAATTGTGGTGGATAGAGGACTTCATTATCTACAAGACTACAACTTTGTTCAAGGACATGTATCCAAATTTGGATGGGATATGTAGACCAGTGACCTAAATCCATATTTTGGTGGGGTACCCGATCGGGTACGCACCCATACCTGGTCGGGTATTTCGAGCAATGGGTCAAAATATCACTTTGGAGTTATACCTGGTTCGGTACCCATCCATACCCAGTCGAGTATGGGGTGGCAGTGGGTTCTGGAACCCATTTTGAGTGATACTCGGTCGGGTATACACCAATACCCGATCGGGTATATATAGCCTTTGATTTGGTGGCCAACGTTCATTTGACTGTCCAAATGAAGTCTGATTGTCACGAGATTTTATACATTTGTACAACAAGTCATTCTTAGTCCAAAAAACATTTGAACGTCTAGAACATCATACCTATTTTACAATTAGATTTTATCCAAAATCAATTATACTTGGTGTACTTATCAATACTATTTCACTAATCTTGGAATATCACATACATATATGCATTTGACAATTTTATGAAACATATTTTTGATCACCTTAGGTAATCCTATGCCTAAACCCAAAATATGGTTCATTATCCTCTCCTTTAAAACATGGTATTCACATCATTATCAATAAGTTCATTACTTGTTCTTTAATCATGTAATATCCATATAATCTATTATTGTTATGGTTAATCACATGTTTTAACACTTTATAAGTTCGTTCTTGGGTGAAAAGTATCCTTCCAACCCCTCATTCTACACATATATACAAACGTGTAGAACAAGCGTAAGGGTCTGTGAATTCCCAGATCAACGATCGATTAACTTTAAACAATAATATGTAGAAAAGATGTAAAAGAAGAATTATTAAACAACATTCAATACTGTATATTACTCCCTCCGTCCCGGTCATTTCTTCCAATTTTCCTTTTTGGGTCGTCCCAATTAATTCTTCCAACTTCCACTTTTGGAAAAAATACGTGGTTCACATTCATTCACCTTTTTCTTACACAACTACAACCATACATTTTCACTTTATTCTCACTACCTAAATTTGCGATACCGGTCAAAACCGGAAGAAATGACCGGGACGGAGGGAGTATATTCATAATGATGTGACAAAGAATACATGATATACACATGAAGTGTTGGGAGAAAATAAAGTGGGAGCTCTAGTCTGCCTTGAGATCTAACTCTCGTCCAGGTAAAATCATTTCCTTTGTAAGATATTTGATGAAGCTCACAGTGCTCTAAACAATCCTTGAAATCAGTTATCTCATTAATATCTGGAACAGTGCGGCCTTGATGTTCAGTCACTGAAAATTGAACATTAAAATCTCCCCCAACAAGCCAAGGTGTAGCATTAGTGTCCTTCCGGTGTGTGAGCCAGTTCCATATCAATAATCTCTCCTGCCTATTGTGTTTGCCATATATGGCAGAATAAAAGAAGTAGAACCACCCCCATTTCCTATTCACCACTTGAAGTGCAAAACTTGATCAATAAAATCAAAATCTGACAAAGAGTAATCCTCTTCCTTCCCTAACACCCATATTTTATTATCAAATTTAAAATAGCCTTGATTAAAACCAAGTTTTTGCTGAAACAACCGAGTTTTGTTCACTGAAACCATAGGTTCAATGATAATAATTAAAGAGAGATTCCATTGCCTCACCAAACCTTGTAGCCTCCGAAAAGATGATGAGAGACCACAAGCATTCCATGATAGAATATTCATTAGGGAACCAAAAGTTGGGTTTCTTCAGCCCCTTTCCTCACTGCAGATCTAGTTAAAATAGGTGGAAAATTGAAACTGTAATCTTTTTTTAACCCGCTTTTGCCAAGCTGTTTGAATGGCATGTACTCCTCCTTGAGTATTTTCAGATTCCTGTTCCATATTTTTGACAATAACTTCAACCCGTTTAACGAAAGGTTGGAAGATACATTGTCATTCCTCTTTTGAGTGATTTGAGGAGTCTTCTGGTTCACCCCATCAGAATTGTTACCATCTTCCAATAATATGAGTTTTGGTTTTCCCACACGTTTAATGGAATCATCCCTATGTTTTAGCCTTTGCAGGTCAGCCGCATATGAAATACCATCCACTTAACTGCTTAAGCCCTTGCTTCTGAATCTATTGAGGTATCTATTGTGGGAGATTGCAATGGATGATCCATAAGCTGGAGAGGGGGATCTCCAGAGAACTGGTGAACCAACTGGAGTGCTGCATCTGTAGGCTGAACTTCATGGCTTTGAGACTCTACTGCCTCTCCTCCTTTTTGAATTCTGTTATCTGTGGATCTTTTGCAGGCTACTACACTGGTTGTTTCAGCTTATTGTTCTGGGAATTTTGTTTCTCTTATTCTGCTTTAGAATCCACTCCTTAGCTTTTGAAATGTGATAAGTGGTTGCTTTGTGCCTTCATTTTTGCAATTAGAGTGACCTATCCTGAGACAGTCAAGACAGTACTTAGGCATATCATTGTAAGTAATAAGCTGAGGGAAGCCTGCATCTCCATTCTCTAACCAAACCTTTTGAGGTAGTTCTTTAGTAAGATCAATCTCAACACACACCCTCGCAACCAAGGGTCTAGTAAGATTACCAGTAGCCGCATCAGACTTTTGAGGTTTACCAACTAAATTGGCAATAGAAAAAAGAGCTTTTTTATCAAATAAATGCAAGGGTAGCCCTTCCAGTAGTCGCATCAGACTTTTGAGGTTTACAGACTAAATTGGCAATAGAAAAAAAAACCTTTTTATCAAATAAATGCAAGGGTAGCCCTTCCAGTAGCCGCATCAGACTTTTGAGGTTTACAGACTAAATTGGCAATAGAAAAAAAAAAACTTTTTTATCAAATAAATGCAAGGGTATCCCTTCCAAAGCTATCCAGACTGGAACAATTGGAGACTCGGTATCCGCTCTAAATTGAGGAGTCCATTTAGAGACCATCATCATGTATCCTTGAATAGTCCACGAATGCCTCAACCAACATCTTTGAAAGTCATCCTCCGATTCAAAACGTAAAAGAACATGCTTTGGGGTGAGTAAATCTAAATGAAAATTATGCTTAAAACGAATGGTTTCTAAAGCCTTCCTGATTATATCCAGTTTTGGTCTGCATTTGACAAATGATCCAAAAAATGCATAGTTATGTGTACGTGCCAATATGTCCACCTCCTCTTTGGAAAATTCGATTGATGGCATTCCCTTAAATCGAGAAGGAGGCTTGATCGCTATCCCATCCTTTGGTTCCCCAGACAAGACCGCAGTAAAGGAACGTACTGTCGATGGATCGGGCGGCTTAGCCTTCCTCCCTTCTTTTTTTCTCTTTTATCTTTTTTTTTTTTTAAATACCAGTCTAATTAAACAAAGATAATTATAATTAATTTGAACACAATAAATAATGTTCTAACATGGTCTATCATATAATTTATTAATTCACATGATATTAAATGAAGGAGGAAAAGATACTAATGAAGTCATTACCTTGAGTTTCGAAGTTTGTTTCCACTTATCCTAGCTTTTCTTCTTACTAAAGCCTCCTCTAACTGTGAGCTCGGTTCATTTCTTCTCTTCTTTTCTCTTCTCTTCTCTCAATTATGGAGAGGTACAAAGGTCAACAAGTACCTTTGATGCCAATTAATTCAACTCAACCTCTTTCATCCCTTCCCATCATGTTCCATCCGGCCCCTTGTCTATTTGATTGCATAATTTCGCGGGGTGACCCCCACTCATGTGGGAGGTCATCCCTTTATGTCCCGAAGTGTGCACTTGGTACCAAAAATTGTACTTCATGAATTGTTTTAATTAACTTTTGTTTTACCATTCCAAATTAAATATATAGCATTCTCCCAATAAAAGTGGGTCTCTAGAGTGAATATGTATTACCCAACCTTAATTGGGTTGTCCCTAAAATTTATTACAGAATCGATATCCGGTAAATTAAAATTACTAGCCTTTGACACCGTTTGATTTTCCGATCGATCCTACTTTGTTATTTGTCTCACCACATATGTCTACTATCACATAAATATTATCTAGGTTAATATTTCAAGGATGGTATTATATTTATTGATTGGTACAAAATAAATCAATGGACAGGGAGGGGGAATCTCATCCCTTAGTTTCCATATCATTTATTTTGGTGAGAGGTCCCCAAAGTGTACTCCATTGTCCCCCTACTCAATTCCCTATCTACCGTACCTCATTATAAAAAAATAATCCCCCATTGGTCTGATATTTTCATGGGGTGGAACCCTTTAGGTGGGTGATCATCTCTTTTGCACCTAAATGTCATTTCGGGTCTCGAAAGTTGTACCTTTTAGACTGTTTTAAATTGTACTTCTTTTTATTAAACCAAATTAATTATATATTAATCTTTCTACTATTTTGGGTTCTTAGAATAATATAATTATACGTCTTCTAATATTAATTTGGTAGCCTTATGAATTACTAACATTCCGATTCTTAAGAAATTGCAACCATTAGACTGTGACCCCCGCTCGGCTGTTATGTTGGCGTACTTGATATACCTGAAGTCTACGCCTCATTCCGATTATCATATTAGTATTTATTAGATAAACATTTATATTATAAGTGGTCCCAGTGTATCTCGGGTGATCCCCGTCACCGATGTGGGTCCCAAGTGGTATTTACCACACCGGTAAAAGTTAAACCGTAAAAATAAAGCTACCACACCTTCATATCAATGTTATTGTTGAACATTTTTGAGGATGGTTTTACACCTATTCCCCCACGTCTAATTCACCCAATGTTATTGGTGAACATTTTTGAGGATGGTTTTACACCTATTCCCCTACGTGAGTCTCATGTGTGGTTTAATATTCTTTTATTAATTTAAGTCCATAAATTTAGCTTCCTCATTTTCAAGACTACTCTTAGTCTTGATTTATCTTGTTTAACTCCATACTTGATGCGAAATATTTTCTTTGGGTGAAATTCAGGTCGAGTGTCACACAACTAATCACGACTTTTGAAAAGAAAATATAATAATAGTGACATAAAAATGAAAAATGTATACTTGTTTGATGACATAAAATTTATTCATGACATTTTTCTTTTTTAATTAACGATTACCTCAAAATTAGGAAGGCTCAATATGCTAAAATTATAGATGTATCACTAATAAATTAATACGGAGTAATAATAATAATATCAGACCCATCATAGTTACCCATCTCCCAAAAAAAATTGTTCTAATGGGACTTGTTAGTTAATTTCAAGAAAATGATATCGAAATCTCAATTAAACAAATTGTGTAATTTGAATTATTGGATTGAATAGTAAAATTAAAGGAGACAAATTGACATGCAATAGACCAATTTTCCTTACCATGAATATTAATGGTAAGGAAAATTGATGAGCATACTTATTACAAGTATTTTTTTGGGAAAGGAAATCACATATATTTATATCATTAGTTTCAGGATCGTTACATCAATTAAAGAAAAATCATACCTGACATCAACTAACATCCATCAACTACGACTGTAAACTCTATGATTAGACTTAGAAACTGTCACCCCAGGAAGAGCAACATGAATAACTAAACACGAGCGAGTTTGACACAGCTATCACTGGTCTTATAGGTCATTATACTTCTAACAACATAAAAATAAGCTAAATTTCCATCCCGACAAACCTAGCAAGATAGACTTTAACAAGAATCTAAACAATAAATAAGTAGAACCATAGCATCTCGTTCAACGCCGTCCCGACCGACATTATCCACTCCCATCAGTTCCCAATATTGGTTTACCGTCACATGCCTCTAATAGCTTCCCAAAAGTATTGGAACCACCACCATAGCTTGATGCCCCATAGGCTATCCTCCCATGCAAGGATCCCGCACCGCAATCTGCAAGGATATGCTAAGCATCCATCCTGTCCTCATTGCACCCAAACTCACTCGTCGATCTCCAAATCTGGAGAAGAAATCTTGGGAAAAAGATCTTAAAACAACTATCAATTGCAAAGTAGCAGTAGACAAGCTATTGCAATTGTCGAAGAGAACAAATCACTCCTAATTGCGGACCGTAGTACAGATTCAGGGGGTTACTGCCCCCTCCAACAAGAATTTTTTTTAGTGTATATGTATATGAAAAATAATTTTCTCCTTTCGAAAAAATATTTTGAACCTCCCAAAAAATATTTTTTCTGACCGACGGCAGAAAAATAATTTCCTGGGTCCACCTCTGCCAGCCTATGACCTACGGCACTCGCAAAACCCTTGCAATGAGGGAGATAGACCGCTTGAAGAGAGAACCAGATTTTTGTATTACAAGTATTAAAATAGAGACTAAGACAGTTTTTTCTCTCAAGAAAAACTCTCACTCTTACGCATGAGGAATTATTTGACTTTAAATAGGAGCTCTAACTCCTCTTATTTTTCACACGACCAAGTCACTATATAAAGTAAGCAAACTCATCAAAATACTTAGGGCTCATTTGGTTCAAAGAATGTCAGATTACGAGACTGTTGAATTGTTGAGTATGTTAGATTGATGAGAATGTATTCAATTTATTCCTATTTATGTTTGGTTAAGATTAAAGCAACGTAACATTAAGTTGTTTGGTTCAATGATATTTTATATTGCATATTTGATGAGATATTTCAGTGCTCTTTAAATATTTCCTCATAACACAATAAATTTATAACAACCTACATTTAAAGTAATAAAAATTAAAGAAAAAATGAAATATCTCAATAATAAGTAATATAAAAACAAAAAGAATCATTTTGAGCGAAATATGTTTAATTGTAAAAAATTGTAGATCAAATACAGAAATTAAAAAAAAAACTTTGTTCAGATTGTATTCTAAATGTGTGTGTGTGTAGCATTTAAAAAAAAATTCAATTTTAAAAAAGTTCAAGTCATTCGTAAAAGTTATTTTCAAATAAAAAATGATCAATTTTGCCATTAAATTTGGAAATCCACTCATCAAAAACCTAAATAAGCTACAAGTCCTATAACATAAATAATTTTTAAAATTTAAATGTTAAGGGAAAAAGAATTATGCTAATTATACAAAACAATAATTTTGGGAAATAATGACTTACCCTATTGGGTGCCTTGAGTTTATATTTATACTAAAAACCAATTTAGGAAATTACATAGCAATCCTTATATAATTACATTATTACACCCCCTCAATCTGTGCAGGAGAAATAACGCGCAGATTGGAACGAAAAAATTCAAAACGCTGACTAGATAAATTTTTGGTAAAGATGTCAGCTAACTGCAATTGAGTAGGAATGTACTTCACGATAAGATCCCCATGAGCCACCCTCTCTCGAACAAAGTGATAATCAATTTTGATGTGTTTGCTCCGATCATGCTGAATAGGACTAACAGTTAAGTATGAGGCAGAGACGTTGTCACAATGAAGTTGCACTGGAACCGAAATATAGATGCCCATATCTGCTAATAGCGACCTGATAAAAAGTGTGTCCTGAACCGTATAAGCAATGGCTCTGTATTATGCTTCAGTGGAAGATTTGGACACCGTGGCCTGCCTTTTGGACCGCCAAGAGATGAGATTGGATCCGAGAAAAATAGCATAACCAGTAGTGGATCTAGAACTGTCGGGACAACCCGCCCAATCTGCATCAGAATAAGCCATAATGACACAAATATTTTTGTCAGATTTGAGCCATAAGCCGTGAGCCGATGTCCCTGTAAGTACCTGTAAATTCTCTTAACACCAATAAGTGAGTAGTGCGAGGAGCATGCATAAACTGGGAAACAAGATGAACAACATATGTAATATCAGGTCTAGTTATAATTAAATATTGAAGAGCACCTACCATACTGTGATACTCAGTAGCATCAGATAAAAGTTCCTCATCTGTGAGAGAAAGGGTGGTACGTGAGGGAAGAGGAGTGCGAACATGTTTAACTGTGTGAAGATGGAAGCGATGTAAAAGATCAGAAATATATTTAGCCTGTGATAAAAATAAACCAGTGGGCATTCGCTTGGTCTAGATGCCCAAGAAATAATGTACATCACCCAAATCTTTCATGGCAAACTGAAGAGATAAGGTATGAATAACAAACATAACAAACGAAGAAGAAGACCCAGTAATAAGAATATCATCCACATACAGAAGAATATAAACAACCTGTGACTTAGAGCGATAAACAAACATAGAAGAATCAGACTTACTCTGTGTGAAACCCCGACTCAATAAAAAACCACTGAAACGATGAAACCAGACTCTCAGAGCTTGTTTCAAACCATAGAGAGCTTTGCATAAACGACACACATGATTAGGAAAAGATGGATGAATAAAGCCCTGTGGTTGACACATATAGACCTCTTCAGTTAAATAGCCATGTAAGAATGCATTTTTCACATCAAGTTATCTTACAGACCACCCCAAAGAAATAGCAACAGATAAAATAAGACGAACAGTAGTGGGTTTAACCACATGACTAAAAGTTTCGGTAAAATCAATGTCAGTCTGTTGTTTAAAACCCTGAGCAACTAATCGAACTTTATGGCGCTCAACAGACCCATCAGAATAATATTTTGTCTTATAAATCCACTTGCAGCCAACCACATTTTTAGTATTGTCCCAAGGTACCAATTCCCAAATCTTATTTGCAATTAAAGCATTAAACTCATCCGCCATGGCTGTCCGCCAAATCTCACTTTTATTTGCCTGTGTAAAAAAAGTTGGATCATTCGGGGGAGAAAAAACACTTAAATCAAAAATCTGTTTTGGT